TGAAGAGTTTCTTTTTTCAATAGATGGTTGATGTTGGGATGGTTACTCAAATCAAGTGATGAGTGATGAACTCCAAGTCATCCTTGGAAATAGCAAATCTGTAGCCCAACATAATTATCCTTTAAACTAGAGAGTATCACTTGTGAGAAAGCCATCATGGCCACATGGCTGATCTAGAGTGGAGTGCTGAGTTCTGACAAACAGCTGCATCTTTCTTCCAAGATCACAAGTCAACTGGATTCTAGAAAATCCACTCTGGACACAGGTTTCCTACAGAGTCTCAGGGCACAGCCTGGAAATGCCAGCTTCACACAATACTGAAATGTTCTGTCAGAAGCTGGACTCGGACTTCAGAAGAGTGAACGTCCCCAGTCCCATCTTTATCAGGGGCCCTTTCCTCCACAGCAGTCCTAGCCTTCATCTTGGCGGGAAGGGTGCCGTCCGACCTAGGCGAAGCTGACTTCTCATCCCCACCAGCAGCGCATGTCAACAGCGGCACAATGGACTGGCTGGTGGACCGGGGTCTTCGTCTGGACTTGAGCTCAGCCCTTCTAAAGGGAACATACATGATCAACACTCCGTGCCTTTCCTAAGACATATCATCATCACTGTACTGCCAGAACTGCTTTGACGCCTGACTTGTACAGCCCACATGACTGCCCCTGTTCCACGTGGGCTGTGTGTTTGTTAGTCAATTCCAGATGCATGACACTGGTACCCACAACTGGCTGCTGACCATATGCTACTACTCAGGGATTGTGAATGTTATGGGTTGAAGGCTTACATCCCTCCTGGTTCATAAGTGGAAACTTTAATCTCCAATGCTGTGGGATGTTCTCTATGCTGTGAATGTATTGCTATGATTGATTGATAAATAAAACACTGATTGGCCAGTAAAAAAAAATAAATGTTTCTCTTTATTTTATGTATCTGAGTGTTTGGCCCATGTATACGTTTGTGCACCACGTGGGTGCAGTGCTCATAGAGGCCAGAAGAGGGCGTCAGGTCCCCTGGAACTGGAGTTACAGATGGTTGTGAGCCCACCATGTGGGTGCTGGGACTGAACCTGGGTCTCCTGCAAGAGCAGTCAGTGCTCTTGACTATTCAGCCCTCTCCCCAGGCCTTCCCCTCCTTTTAGTAATCAAAGAAAATAAAAACCCCAAGCCGGTGTGCTATTTCATCCATCACTTTTTGCCAGTTAGGA